CTGGCCTCACAGTCAGGTCAAACAAGGGACTGCCTGAAAAGGCATTAATTAAATTTCACCTCAAAAATGTTCCCTTCCTGGGAAATTCTCTAGACTTGACTCACGTCCCTTATGCTACAACGTTGTTTTAGCTCATTGGTATGTTGGCTGTGTCTCCTCAAATAGACTGTTAGTTCCCTAAACAGAGATGATGTTCTCTGTGTTTCTAGGCTCCCTCCCTGCAATATTTAGTATAGGATGCTCCATGCAGTGTACTTCCCCCCCAAATAAACAAATGAATGAACCAACGGACAAAATCTAAGTGCAATATCACCTATGTGACTATAATGCAGTCATCAGGCCAGCTTACTTGTCCAGAACATAACAGAAAAGGACTTGACAGTGAGCAAAGAAAATGCATAGGTTATCAGATGATCATTGTAGTTAACATTTATTTTATGGAAGGCCTAAAGTGGATCAGGTCTTATACTGATTTGATACTGACATCTCCGTTTAGTTGTCATATTTTTACTACTTCCATTTTATAGACAAATATATAACTTGCCTAAGGTTCTAACTTAGCTCTATATGACTAGAGTTCATGTATATAACTACTATGCTGAATAAACATTGTAAACAGGGGGTACAGATGAGGTACTGTCTGCCCCTGTCTGGTGCTCACTTAAGCATTTTTTTCCCCACCAATCAGTTCTTTTTTAAACTCTTACTTTGCACACAGTTGTAACACCATAGATCTCTATTCTCAGCCTAAGGAGAGAAAAGATGACAATTAAGAAAAGCCTCATCATGGGCCATTTTATAAGATGCTAATTCATAACTTGGCAGCAAGGAGAGGGCCAAAGTAGGTCTTGTCTTTTCTTTTTAATTAAGGATACAAAAATGATGGTGCTGAAAGAAGGCTAGTGTGGGGTTATTTTGGTTCTGGAAAACTGCCCCATAATATGTGTGCTCTGGAAGATTTACTGTATTCTAATCCAGTGCCTTTGATAATTGATAATGACAGAGTTGTCAAGAAAAGGCTACATTCAACACAACAAAAGTTAAAGGTATGAGTTTGATTTAAAAAAATTTCCTTTAAAAATATTACATTAAAAAGGGCCACTATCTTTGTAAAATAAGGGTTCTAGATGGCCCAGAGCATTCTCTAGACTAGCAGAAATCTGGATTTCATGAATAATTTTCAGAAATCTAGATTTCATAGACAAGGAAAAAAAAATAAAATGGGGGTGGGGGGACCAACAGGGATGTTAAATGTTAATTAGGCTAAGTAAAAAGGTTTAAACAGAACAACTGCCATTCACTGTCATCTTCTCTTAACAGAAGTAAAGACATTCACATCAAAGCAATGGGAAGGACAACATTTTAGAATAAAGGAAAGTCCTTTAGGTTGAATGAAGTTAGACACGTTTTTATGTTTTGCATTTCACTTTACACTGGTGAAAAGTTTATCTTGGGCAAAGACTGGTCTACAGCTTGCTGTTTAAAAGCTGCTGTTCTGGAAAAATATCTTTTAATTGTCCATATCCAGGGTCCAGTTTTACATTTTCATCACTCCTCCCTAAGAACAACTTAAGAAGAGTCAACATGGAGTGTTTGGTTCTCTTTCCCAAGGTTCAAGTGGAGTTCACATAGAGTCCCACAAGCTGCTGTTCCTGTATCTTATCTATAGAGATGGACCCAAGAGGACCAACTTCCATGGTATATGAATATTATCGTTGTTTGTATGAAGAAAGGATTT